CAAAATGAATAATCCTTACCAAATGCAAGGATTATTTTCATTGTTATTTCATTATTATTATTTTATTACAGTTTAAATTACTCTGTAGATGTAATTTCTAAGTAGTTTCAGTAATAGCACTGAACTTTACATATGACTAGATGTTATTTTTCTTAATATATTTGAGCTTCCTAAAATAGTTACTTTTTGCAGGAGGTTGATATTTTGTGCACCAGGTATTTTGTCAAGTCATTTCTGAATAGTCTTATTAACGGTCCCATTTGCACCAATGATTATAGGAACTATGTTTGTTGTACATTGCCACATAAATTCAATTTGACGATTGATCTATTTCCTGATTTTCTCTGGTTCTTTATTTCTTACCTCGTAATCACTTGGGATGATACCCACATCAATACTATTACATGTACAATCGACTTGGTTCTTTATGATAATATTTGGCTTGTTATCATTTATTATTATCAGGTCCCCTCTCAGCCCTCTCTGCTTAGCTGGTGACAACAACAACAACAACAACTTGCATTTATATAGCGCCCTTCATGCAGGGTAGCGTCCTGGAGCGCTTGACAGTGATGGGAGTCTGACCCCGAGCCAGGGCGAAAGCGAGGGGGGAAGTGACCATAAGTACAATCAAAAAGAAAGGTCTTTAGGTGGGATTTGAAGGTGGGGAGGGAGGGGGCAGGGTGGAGGGTTTGAGGGAGAGAGTTACAGAGTTTCAGGGCGTAGTGGCTGAAGACACGGCCACCGATGGTGAAGCAGAGGGGGTTAGGGACAAACCGGAGGCTGGAACCGGCTGAGCAGAGGCAGCAGGTGGGAGACTGGGGTGGTAAACAAATCGGATAAGTAGGGAGGTGTGAGGGCATGAAAGGATACCAAAACAAGTGCGAGGATCTTGAAATCAATCCATTCAGTAATTGGGAGCCAGTGGAGCCTGGCAAGGACTGGTGGGATGGGGGTACTGAGTTTTGTGCGGGTGACACAACTGGCTCCGCAGTTTTTCTAGCCAGGATTTGTTACAAAGTGAGACCACAACCACACACGCACACCCCACCACACCACACACACCACACCACACACACCACAAGTACACACTCCACCACACCACACACCACACCTACACCACATGTACACATCCCACCACACCACACCACACACACCACACCCCACCACACACACATCACATGTACGCCACACGTGCACCAACCCCCACCACATGTACACACCCCACCACATGTACACACCCCACCACACCACACGTACACCACACCCCACCATATCACACATACACACCCCACCACACACACACCACACATACACCACACCATACATACACCACACGTACACCACACCCCACCACACGTACACACACACCACATGTACACACACCTACACACCACGTACGCACACATCACACGTACGTACACACCACACCACACTTACACATACACCACACATACACACACACCACACACACATGTACACACTCACACCACATGTACACACTCACACCACATGTACACACACTCACACCACACCTACACACACACACCACACGTACACACACACAACACACATACACACCACACGTACACACACGCACCACACGCACACACACGCACCACACGCACACACACATGCACAGACACACACCACACGTGAGTACACGGACACACGCACTACACGCGCACACACACGCACCACGCGCGAGCACACGCGAGTACACACGTGCGTACACGCACCACATGTGCTTACACCCAACACATGTACCCACACGCACCACACGTACCCACACGCACCACACGTACCCACACAAACCACACGTACCCACACGCACCACAAGTACACACACACACCACACATACACACACACACCACACGTACACACACACCACACGTACACACACACCACACGTACACACACACCACACGTACACACACCACATGTACACATACACACACACCCCATATGTTTACACACACACCTACACACACAACACACGTACACACACACCACACACGTACACACACACACACCACACGCACACACACACACCATACGTACACACACCACACGTACACACACACCACACGTACACACACACACGTACACACACCGCACGTACCACACACAATGCACGTACACACAAACACCACACGTACACACACCACATGTACACATACACACACACCCCATATGTACACACACACACCTACACACACAACACACGTACACACACACCACACACGTACACACACACACCACACGCACACACACACCACACGTACACACACCACACGTACACACACACACCACACGTACACACACACACGTACACACACCGCACGTACACACACACAATGCACGTACACACAAACACCACACGCGCACACAAACTCCACACGTGCACACAAACACCACATGCGCACACACCACACATACACACACCACACGTACACACACATGTACACACACCATACGTACACACACACACCATACGTACACACACACCATACGTACACACACACACCATACGTACACACACACATACACCATACGCACAACATACAAACACACAACACACAAAAATAAACGCACAACATACATGCACACAAAATACATACCAGACATGCCACAAGTACACACATGCTACATAGACACACACACACCATGTACACACATATATTCACACACACCACATATAGACATACACATCACATACACATATGCACCACATACACACACACCACACACACATACACACCTAGGAACCACATACATACACAACATACACTTAGTATACACATACACATACAACATGCACACTGTAGACCTACACACAATGTACACAGAATGTATGCACGCACAATATACACACAATATTTGTGCACAATATCAAACAACATACACATTATACACACAACATACACACACAATACACACACAGTATGCACACACCCACACATGCAACATACACACACATGTGCACGCACAACATACACACACACAAAATACATACCAGACACGCCACAAGTACACACATGCTACATAGACACACACACACCATGTACACACATATATTCACACACACCACATATAGACATACACACCACATACACATATGCACCACATACACACACACCACACACACATACACACCTAGGAACCACATACATACACAACATACACCCACTGACACATCACATATTCTTATACAACACATACACACATATCACATATACAACAACAAAATTACATTGGTATAGCATCTTTCATGTCAGGAGGACATCCCAAGGTGCTGGTTATTTAGTGTTTCGGATCCGAGCTAGGGGTTGGGATTGGGGAGAGGGGAGGGCGAGGGGGAAGCAGGGTGATCGAAAGAACGAATGAAGAGGAGGGTCTTGAGATGAATCTTGAAGGAGGCAAGGGAGGGGCATGGCGGAGGGCCTGCGGGATGGAGTTCCAGAGGGTGGGGGCAGAGTGGCTGAAGGCGTACTTGCCAATGGTGGGGCGGGCGAGGTGGGGGACATGAAGCAGGCTGGAGCCCACTGAGCGGAGGGAGTAGGCAGAATGGTAGGGGTTTAGGAGGTCCCAGAGATAGGGGAGAGCAAGGCCATGGAGGGCTTTGAAGGTGAGGACCAGGATTTTGAACTGTATGATGGGAAGCCAGTGGAGTCGAGCGAGGATGGGGGGTAATAAATAGGGTGATGAAGCCTGGAGGACACAGGCTGCAGCGTTCTGGATGATCTGCAGCCTATGAAGGGAGTAGTTGGGGAGGCCAACAAGAAAGGAGTTTGCTTAGACAAGTCTGGATGTTATGAATGCGTGTATGAGGGTTTCGGTGGCCTACGGTCTGAGACAGTGGCGGAGCCGGGCGATGTTGCAGAAGTGGAGGAAAGCAGAGCGGATCATGGCACGGATGTGAGATAGAAAGGATAGTTGAGGGTCAAACAAGTCCCCAAGGTTCCGGACTGGCTTAGCAGGATGGAGTGTGCGACCATGGCTGGTGATGCTGTCAGCGCCTGAGGTGTGGAGGCGCTGATGGGAGCCGATCAGGAGAGCCTCGGTCCTACACATTTAGGCACCACATACACACACACGCGTGCATCACACACACACACGCACACATCACATACACACCACGCACGCACGCACACACCACACACACACACCACACGCACCACACACACACGTGCACGCGTACACACACGCGCGCGCGCACGCACGCACACACCACACGCGCACACCACACGCGCACACCACACGCGCACACACCACACGCGCACAACACACGCGCACACAACACACGCGCACACAACACACGCGCACACGCACATGTACGCACACCACACGCACGCACACCACACGCACGCACACCACACGCATGCACACCACACGCAAACCACACGCACGCACACCACACGCACGCACAACCGCACGCACACCACACGCACGCACACCGCACGCACACCACACGCACGCACACCACACGCACGCACACCACACGCATGCACACCGCACGCACACCACACGCACACACACCACACGCACGTACCACACACACGCACACACACCACATGCACACACACCACATGCACACACACCACATGCACACAAAAGCACATGCACACGTACTCGCGCACAACACACACACACCACATATACAGATAAGCTACATACACTTACACAAACCACATACACAAGCCACATACACACACACAAGTCACACATACACACACACACACAAGTCACACACACACACAGACACATACAAACCACACAGGCACATACAAACCACACAGGCACGCACACGAGCCACGTACACAAGCCACATACACACACAAGCAACACACGCACGCAACACACACACACACCACATGTACACACACACACACAAACCACATACACACACCACATACACAGGCATCACTGGGTTATCTCTGGGTTATCACAGTTACTGCACTTTACGGGTTATCCCAGGGTTATCATGGATTACACTCACCACCGAAGAAGTTCTTGACCTTGAGGTAGGCCACACTGAGCCGTAACACAGAGAGCTTGTCCAGCCGGCCGCGCACATCCTCGTTGAAGGGCAGCAGACCGGTCAGCTTGTCCAGCTCGCAGTTCAGCCGGTCCCGGTGCCGCTTGGACGGGTTTGACTTGATGGCATCCACAGGCCGGAGCTTCGGGCTGTTATATTTTCGTGAAATAAAAGGCAGGAAAGAGGAAGAGAAAGTAAAGAGTAAAAGTGTCACAGAGAGAAAGGAGTGCGTCAATTTCCCACAAATTCATTTCGTCCACAAAACACAGTCACTCCACTTTACAGAAAAATCCTGCAAAGTACTTTTGAGACATCTGAACGACACGACAAAGTGTCACATCAAACCCAAAGATTATCTAATTCATTTCATTATTGAATGTCGCACAAAAGACAAGTCATTCCACTTTACAGTGTATCCCGTGAAGCGCTTTGAGATATCTCTGTGACCGCCATCAGCGCTGTGTCAAAGGTACGGATTATTGTTATTGATTGGAGTAAATCTGACCCCTCCGCAGTGCAGTGTCACTGACACCTCATCTCAGCAAAACTTCTCACCTCTTCTGCACCGGTTTCTTTCGCTTTTTCACGGCGTAAGTCCCCGCGGAGCTCAGCATTATGCACAAACCCGGGTCCGCGGCATCTCTCCGTCTCTGTGTCTGTCTCTCTGTCTCTGTGTCTCTGTGTCTGTCTCTGTGTCTCTGTCTCTGTCGAGTTTGGAGTCACCAAAACACCACCATCTCCCCTTCAGATCAGCGGCCCCGGGACAGCGGGACAGGAGCGCCCGATCCACTCGCCAACTCCATCCCGGTGTTCAATCCCCCAAATTCCAGCAATTTTGAAACCAAAAGCGCAGCAAAGATTCCGCAAGTCCTGGACTACTGCGATCTGATCACTGAGCGATCTCTCTCTCTCTCTCTCTCTCCAGAAAATCCCCCCTTTGCTCCTGTTTTAATCCATCTCTGAGCCTCCGGCAGGAAAGAGGTCCTCTGTCCCTCCGCGGCCACACAAACAGCTCTCACACCACAGTCTGTCCCGATCTCTCACCCTCAAATCTCTCTCTCTCTCTGATCTCCACACCCCCCCCCTTTCTCTCTCTCTCTGATCTCCACCCCTCTCCCTCCCTCTCTCTGATCTCCACCCCCTCTCTCTCTCTCTGATCTCCACCCCCACCCCTCTCTCTCTCTCTCTGATCTCCACCCCCACCCCTCTCTCTCTCTCTGATCTCCACCCCCACCCCTCTCTCTCTCCCTGATCTCCACGCCTCTCCCTCTCTCTCTCTCTCTCTGATCTCCACCCCTCTCCCTCTCTCTCTCTCTCTCTCCCTGATCTCCACCCCCCTCTCTCTCTCTCTGATCTCCACCCCACCCCCCTTCTCTCTCTCTCTCTGATCTCCCCCCCCCCCCTTCTCTCTCTCTCTCTGATCTCCACCCCTCTCCCTCCCTCTCTCTCTCTCTCTGATCTCCACCCCCCTCTCTCTCTCTCTCTGATCTCCACCCCTCTCCCTCTCTCTCTCTCTCTCTCCCTGATCTCCACCCCCCTCTCTCTCTCTCTGATCTCCACCCCACCCCCCTTCTCTCTCTCTCTCTGATCTCCACCCCCCCCTTCTCTCTCTCTCTCTGATCTCCACCCCCCCCCTTCTCTCTCTCTGATCTCCACCCCTCTCCCTCCCTCTCTCTTTCTCTCTGATCTCCACCCCCCTCTCTCTCTCTCTGATCTCCACCCCTCTCCCTCTCTCTCTCTGGAGCCCTGCACTGGGCTCAGCCCAACTCGCCTCATGTTATTGGCTACAACTCACATAACTCCCGGAAAACAACCCACAGCCCAACCCTTCCCTTAAGGTGGATCCCAAACCACTCGAGAGAAAGAGATGCACAACACTCACTCACATACACACAATCAAATACACACAAAATCCCTCACTCTTCCATCATATACTCAATCACATACAAACTCACTCACATAAGCACTGGTTCACTCAATCACATACACACTTCCTCATCGGACCAGGCGGCCAGAACCTCAGGTTAACATCTCATCTGAAGGACAGCATTTCAGAAACTGCAACACCCCTCCCTCCCCCCCCAGCACTGAGTCGGAGTGTTACTGAGCCAGTCTGGAAACCTTGGCATCTTGTTTGACCCTCAACTATCCTTTCTACCCCACAGTCATGCCATGACCCACTCTGCCTTCCCCCACAACAACAAAAACAACAAAATTACATTTGTATAGACCTCCACAATATCGCCCGGTTCCGCCGCTGTCTCAGACCGCAGACCACCGAAACTCTCATACATGCATTCATACCTTGACTTGCTTCATAGCTTGACTATGCAAACTCCTTGCTTGTCGATCTCCCCAACTCCTCCCTCCATAGGTTGCAGATCATCCAGAACTCTGCAGCCCATGTCCTCTCTCGTGCCAGGCTCCGTAACCCTATCACTCCCATCCTCACCCAACTCCACTGGCTTCCCATCACACAGAGGATACAGTTCAAGTTCCTGCTCCTCAAAACCCTCCATGGCCTTGTTCCCCACTACCACTGCGACCTCCTAACCCCTTGACAACCTGGCTGCTCCCTCTACTCAGCTGGCTCCAGCCTACTTCATGTCCCCTCTCGCTTGCCCCACCATTGGTGGGGGGGCTATCAGCCAATCTGTCCCCACCCTCTGGAACTCCATTTCGCAGTCCCTCCACCTCGCTCCTCCCTTGCCTCCTTCAAGACCAACCTCAAGACCCTCCTCTTCAACCTTGCTTTTGAACATCCTCCTTCGCCCCTTGTTCTCCACCCTCCCCAATCTCAACCCCCAGCTCGGGTCCGAAACAATGATTGTCCAGTGCCTTGGGATGTCCTCCCGACGTGAAAGGTGCTATATAAATGTAATTTTGTTGTTTATGTTGTTGTTTCCCGTAGCTCGTCCAGCTAGGACCACCCTACCCCTTACGGCTTTCGCTTACAGGATTAACAGGAGTTAAGTGGGATGACTCCCTGACCCCAGTGAATGGTTTGCCCTTGCTCCTGCCGAACAAGGCTGGCTGCCATCAGCAGTGTCCTGGAATATTGCATACCTGCCTGGTTCAGGAACCGGACTACTGAGACTGCTACAGAGGGCATGTCACCTTGGAGCCAGTTCAGTTCCAAGGAGACCCCGCTTCCCTCCCCCACAAGGAGGATCTTAGACTACGTGTGCGCTTCCAACAATAAACAAACCACAGACACCAGTGAAAGTGATTGTTTTATTATTAAAGTGAACCCACACAACGGATCTGATGTGACCATAGACAAACAGGCAATGATTTAGCATCAGAAGAGGGAAGATGAATGATTTAATTTTTATTTTAGTTTTGGTGGGTATAAGCAGTCCTACCTGCAATCGTTCAAATGTGACTAGAGTCCAATGCTATGTGTTGTCAGCCAATGGCTCAGTCAATCGCCCTCTCATCTTCAAGTTAGAAGTTTGTGGGTTTAAGCCCCACATAGGGACAGTCTAGGCTGGCACTCCACTGCTGTGCTGGAGGAGAGTGGCATTGTCAGAGTTGCCATCTTTTGGATGAGACCTTAAACCGAGATCCCATCTGTCTTTTCAGGTGGATATTAAAGATGCTATTGCACCATTCGAAAAGAGAAGGGGATTTCTCTCTCCCGATGTCCTGGTCAACAATCACCCAAATAAAAATTCTGTCACTCACTCCACGGCTGTTTGAGGGACATTGCTGTGTGGAAAACTGGCTGTTGCGTTTTGCCCCACAAAATACACTTAACAGTATATTCTTTGAAGCGCTTTATGACATCTCAACGACGTGATAAGGTGTTTTATCAGCTGCAAGGATAATTATTATTATTACTTGCAGTGAGTTGGCGAAAGGCATCAAATGACCTCCCACCCCCAAACCCAGGCGACCTTGACCCCAATCCCCAATCTGTGAAGGTGAGCAACCATTTGAAGCAGGAGGGTTGTGTGTATAAAATCAAATCGGCCATTCTCAAATTATCTCGGGAGATACTGTCAGATGCGGTGTCAATGGAGAAAGCTGAATGAACTGAGGCCATTCATAAAACCAGGTCCATTCTGGGGTTTGTGGTTGGTCCACCTTAAGTGGGTATGTGTCAGCTCTGGAGACAGAAAGTCAGGCCCAGGTTGATGGATGATCCTGGGCTGTCCTATTACTGGAATTGTGAGCCCAGTGAATCATGCTGTCAAGAGACAGTGAGGAGACAGCAACAGGCAACAAATGCATTACTTTCTGAGTTAGTCTGTAACCTGCTACATCAATGTGATTGCTGATCACAAGCTCACATGGCAGATTCGAAATGTAGAAGCCCCCTTCAGCCCATCCGATCTCGTCCCTCCAGAAAGCCCAGCCTACCTCCCACCCCCATCACATCAAACTGCTTTTTAAATGAGTCTCAGTGTCCTGGCCTCAACCATCCTTCCTAGTAACCCTGTTCCAATAGTTGATTACTCTTTCTCTCTCTCATCAAGAGCTCTCTGGAAACCTCTGAATTCCCACTTTCATCCCTGTCCCTCCCAATTACACTTGTTTTTTAAAAAATCTCATCCAATTTTCTCTACTCTCCTCAAGGGGCTGACTTGCACTGGGGTCTCATTCTCTAAACCCCACACCCCCAGTCTCCAATCTTTGTTCTGATCTATCGCTGATCTCAATCAGAGTAGAACTGACTTCAGTGTCCCCTGAGATGGGGGAGGCTATCAGCCAGGGTAACCCTCTCCTGATCGCTGGGAGGTGAGTGGATGGAGTCTCAAGTCAGCGGGTGGTCGGAATTTGACCAACGTCTGGCTGACAGGTGTTAGACCCTCTGCCCCACTCCTGTCACTGCAGGGCCCCTGTTCCCCCCACCCCATCCCACCCACCAACCCAGTCTGGACATTTAAACAAATATGTGTTCTGTTATTTCCCCCAACTGGGGGACAAAACTGGCACAACTTAACTGAAACAACCAGTGTTACAGAGTCACATGACAGGAAGGGCAATGTGTTACCAGGAAGCCATTTGCCGTGCGCTGCTATATCTCAGTGTTCAAATCTGTTTCAGGAAGTTGGGAGGTTGTGACCTAATCAGTGGCTTCAGATAACATTCAGCTGATGATGATAATAATAATAATAATCCTTGCATTTGATATAGCGCCTTATCGAATCTTCGAGATGTCTCAAATATACAGAATATATTGTAAAGTGTATATTCTCTATTTTGGCAGCCAATTGCACACAGCAGTGTCCCACAAACAATCGTGGATTGAGTAACCAATTTTTTTAAGGAATCATTACCTCCGAAAAGCAATCTGCCAATCAACTAACAATCGGGTTCCTACTTACTGCTAGGTGAACAGAGGCTTGTGATGCAAGGAAACTTGTCCAACGTCTTGCCCTGCCAGGAATAAAACCCAGATTTCTCTTTTGCGAGCCGAATGCTCTGACCACTGAACTACAGCACTCACGGTGGCCTGGGGGTTACAACAACAACAAGATTGTTAGAGAGAGAGAGAGACACGTATGATTTGACAGCATATCCTGGTGCTCAAATTTGCACGCAAAGCTGAGATGGCGTGAGACAGGAGAAAGAGCAGTACAAGCGAGTATGACATTGAGACAGAACGATTAGAGGATTACATCCCCTGTGGGTGGTGTGTTCTTACAAACTGGCTTCTCTTGTTTATATTTAACCATTGCTTCTGTACAAAGTCTTCACAAAGTCCTGTTACCCTCCCCTGTGTGTTTCTTTCTTACAAAGAATTTTTATTTTCTCTTGCAGATGAGTTGAGTGTAACAATGCTCCTCACGCCATACAGTTTATGGAAGATGTCCATGGCAACGGATCATTTTCTGCCATGAAAATGATGGATGTTTAAATACAACAATAACTTGCACTTACAGAGTGCCCTCCACGCAGGGTAGTGTCTCAGAGCACTTAACAGTGGCGGAGCCTGACTCTGAGTTGAGGGGGAAGGGGGAGGTGGTCTTAAGCACGATCGAAGAGGAAGGTCTTCAGACAGGACTTGAAAAAGGGGAGAGAGGGGTCAAGGCGGCGGGATTGAGGGAGAGTGTTTCAGAGTTTCGGGGCCTAGTGGCTGA